TTTTGCACACTTGCCTATCGGGGACCCTCTGTCAATCGGGGACCTTAAGTAGTATGTGAAGGAGAGTTCCCCTCCTCATACCTATCCGACCCCCTCTCAACCGGGACTTTCCCCCACTTCCAGCCATCTCCCCCAGGGCTCTTCTCAACCCCTAGGATTTCTCCCAACCCCGGGGAAAAGATTGCCAGACAACAAGATTTCACAAAACGGCCAAGATTTCCCTCCTCAACCAAAAATTATGAAAAAAATTCCCAAGATTCCTCTAGAAGTAATATGGGTTTAACTTTTGCCACTAAACTTGAATATGCTAAATTAGTCGCGACTCAGGCGGCGTGGTTAACTGTAAAGGGTTATGAAACAGAACGTGATATAATCGAGCAAGCAAAACTGGATATACAGAGTCAAAGGCATCACATTTGCTTGGTGAGACAAACCAAAAACGGAAATAAAGTTTATAAACCGAAGCAAATATTTATTCCCAGTGATTTGACTACCGATCGAAATAAAAAAATATTAAATTTAGTTAAATAGAAACAGACATGTCAAACCGAGAAACCAACGTCAATTGTTTCTTTTGCAAAGACTCGGTTCAATCCGTTAATATGGTAGATGCGGTCGACTGTATTCATTTTTTTAATTCTTATGGTTTAGGCCTATTCGAATTCACCGCCTCCCCCGAATGTCACGATTGTCACAAATATCACAACTGTAGGAAATGTACCCAGTGTTCGACTTGCAGCGAATGTTTTAATTCTTACGACTATGAAGACTCAATTGCACTAGACAGCTGCGAAGCTTGTTTTAATTGCAGCAATTGCATAGAATGTTTCAGCCGTTACGATTGTGTTTGCTGCGTTAATTGCATTGAATGAGAAGGAATGGATCACGTGGTGTTTGTCGACGGCTGTTACAAAAGAATCAGACATAAACGAGCGGACGATTTACTGCCTAATGCTGAATCTAAGCTGGACTCTGATTTATATGACATTGGGTTAATAATTGTATATGACGTTGATTTAGAAGATTCAAATATAAAGTAAATATTCAACATGAAAATTTTATATCAACTACAAAAGCCCATGATGCGTATACTCGATGGTATAAATTTGGTAGTTTACGAGTTTATCGAAACGCAAGCTGCAGTAAACTCGAAAGTACCGTCGATTACCATTAAGCCGGTCGTGATTTAGACAACTTAGACAAATCGGTCAAAGTTACATATGTGGTTAAACCTGGGTACACCGACAAGAACCGCATGTACGTTAAAATAGATTCTTACGCTTCGTTGTTTGACCAACGAAAGAGACCCATTACATCGTCAAAAATTGAGAAATTTACAAATCCAAGATGCCATGCACAATAATTTATTACCCCCAGAGACGTATATTACAGAACTCACGGTTCACTGTCTTGCGGTTCAAGTGTTAGGTAAAATAACAACGGCTATGTTGAAAATTAGAAATGACAGCATTATTTCGAATAAATCGGCATTGCAAGCATTTAAAGATTTGGCTGAAAAGAATCAGAATCGGAAACAGAATCGGAAACAGAATCTGTCAGAATCGGAAAAAAGAATCTGAAACGTCCATGAAATTAAAGATGGATTAAAACTTATGAATTAACTTATGAGCAACTGATGAATTATTTTAAGCCTCGGTTGTCAGTCGACGTTGACGGATAACTGAGGCTAATTTGACGTCGCTTAAACAAATAAACGTTTTAAAAATAATGAACGATTATTTACCATCAGATGAACGAGATTTATTTGTTTTGTTTGGCCAAAAATCAGCGTGTATAAAAACTGAAGAAGACACATGTTGGCACGTGAATAAAAGAACAGCAAACGGATTTGTAGACTGCCTCGATTGTTTTAGAAGGTTGTCCCCTAATACAGACTTTGAAGCAGAAAACGTAGGCGGCAAATAACCAACGCTTTGTCTATAAAAAAGTTTATATCTAAAACGAAGAAAATATTTAAACAACTAAGCATTCAACTGACTACCAAACAAGCGGGTCTCATAGAAAACAGAATAAATCAATTTTTGGCAGACAAGATCTCCAGAGGCAAACCATTCAGGGCTATTTTAATTGCCATCTGTTATCAAGACGTAACTAAAGAAAGTGTAGATAAAGTAAAATACCTGTTTCAAGTCTGTGAAAAACACTTTACCGCTGCCTTCAGTAAATTTAGAACCGGTTAGATTTTAAAAACCGGTTTATTATAAAATGGACACGTATTCTTTTTTATTTAACCACAAGCGAGCAGACGTTTGAATTAAAAAATACCATCGATAATTCAAAAGGCGACAAGGCCGTACAAGTCAAAAAGTAAGCTTTCACTCAGGACATTTCAACATTACAAAATCCACTGAAATCGATTGGCAAACTCAAGTCCAAGCAAGTCCTGCTGAAAGGGGATCTAGATATGAAGGAGTTAGAGAACACGAAGCGCGAGCATCAGCAAGCGAGGTAACATCTATCAATGTGAATGTTGTACAAGCGTTTGAACTTACAGTGTCATTACATCAGAATTAGTGGCAGACACTTTGGGTTTGTTTTGTAACGTAATAAGAGATTATATTCGAGCTTACGAGGCGAGAAATCTAGATTAATTTAACACCCCAGTTAACCCCAAAATAATTGACTTCCAAAATCTAATAGTTACGTTAAGAAGACAATTTTTAAAATTAAATGAAATAGAAGCAAAAGCAATGGATAAAGAGAATTCTGACATTATAATTTATCTGATTCTTAAAACTCAAGAAAACAAATCAATATCTATCAAGAAGCCCAGCGCATCGCTTTGGAATTCATTCGCGAAGGGTTTATAAGCGACGACAATGAAGACAGAATGAGAACCATTAGAGCCGCACACACTGAACAGACAGACGCTCTGCTTGTTATGGGTTCTAGTTCTAATGCGGGAGTGTAGTCATTCCTCCGGCGTTTTATTACGTAGATTGGTTTGATTTTATTTTAAACGCTATTACAGGTGTGAGTTTTAAAGTACACCGTGACTCAAACTTGGTGACAATTATGATAACGGATTTAAATCTCAAATTGCGGTTAGGTAAAGAAGTCGGTAGGCTGTTAAATTTACGGAGAGGTAGGCTCGTTCCAAACGTTATTTACAAGGGGCAGATAAACATAAACCCTTTCAGACAGCTTTGGATGCACAGTCGAGAAATAAAGAACCATTTTAATTATTTTAACGGACAGCCTTCATACGTATTGTGTAGCGCGTTAAATCCCAGTAAAACTACTGCTAAACTAGTTGTAAACAGGAAAATAGTGAGTTTTGGATTTTCGTTAAGAAACGAGCGAAGAGAAGTCATTAACAATAAAAACGGCAAAATTTTGATCGATCTAGACGTTTTTAAAAAGCGTATATAATAAAAAAAGATGACAACAAACCTTGAGTCGAATATGTATCCAGACTTGAGCAGGTACCAAGCAAACGCAAATAAAATTTACCGCCTCCAAAAAATCGAAGACATTCGCGGCCAAATCTTACGAGAGCGTGACGCACGTGAGACCTCTTACAAAAAGATCAAACGGCTATTAACCGTGCTAGATTACGTGGAATACGGAGTAGAAGCATTGGGCGCTACATCAGCCGCAATAGGCATTTCTGCACTATTGGGATCTATCACTGCACCCGTCGGGCTACTGATGGAAGGCATAGCCATCGGCGCGTTTGGTGCTTACGCGATGTTAAAGTACGCCAGTCGCAGGTTGACAGCAAAAACCAAAAAGCACGATAAAATCTGTATGCTTGCAGACGCCAAGGTAAACACCGTAGACGAGTACGTATCACACGCGATCGAAGACGGTGATGTGTCTCAGGAAGAATTTGTTTTGATTTTGAGTTACAAGAAACAACACTACGAGCAAAGAAGAATTTGACCGCCAAGTGCAAGCAAAGGCGGAAACGTTAGCCAACGAAATGGCAGTGGTTTTTAAAAAAGACCTTATGAAAAAACTTGGCGAAAAACTTTAACCAAGTCTGTTAAATATCAACAACCACCACCACCTTACCAAAATATTACAGAAACTGTAAAAAACCCCACCGCACCTGCCTTTTAAAACCAGTTTATTATAAAACAAATGGGAGCCAACTTCAGTCAATTATCGATCGTGGTTAATAAAGGCTATTACTTTTCTGCCGTGTTTCCAAATTTAACCACGGCGTACAAGTTACCAAGAATGAAGACGGACGAAGCCGTTAACTGTTGGACAACTGGCCCCATATCATTTTATCAAAACCAATTTAATTTCGCGGTCTATTGCACGACAACGACATGTGGGGTAGGTTTTGATTTACTGTCTGACCAGAATCCGTACGTATCTGCGCTGTTTAATTTTCACGTGTACAACACAGTGAGAAAAAACTTCAACGACTACGTGCTAAACTAAGTGACGATATCTTCAACACGTTGCACAACAACTACGACCATCAGTAATTTACAGATACCTGTCGCTTGAAATTATCGTACTAATAGCTAAACTAAAAGCCGTTAAAATGCTGACGATCGTGACACCTTGTTTTCTAAAAAGCACCCGAATCTTTTCGCGCAACGTTAAATCACCATCCATCACCGCAGTACTCGTTT